TACCTATTATAGTTTATCTAAAATGTATGTAATATGTATGAATTCTTTTATGGAAATGTATTAGTGTTGTGAATTTATCAAACTATACTTTTTATAGTTAAATAATACGTGTTCTAAATGAATGAATAATATTTAATATGAATGACTTAGTTTCAGTTCATAATGGTAAACTAACAAGGAAACACATTCAAATATTAGAACTTATGATTATACACTTTGCTCAACATAATACAAAGTGTTATGATATTTACATGCTGTTGGCTAACTTTAGCCATTCTGCCCTGTTTTTGGAAAAATCATAGAAAAATCATACGAAGTCGAAAACTAGATCCGTAAATTCTGAGAGTTCGCAAAATGTGTCTAGTTTACTCATAATTTTTATCACGATTTTTAATGACTTCCAACTTGAGTGAATAAGTCCAAAATCACAGACTGGTCCGGATTGTTGTTTGAAATGATAGGCAGTTTTGTAAAAATCACCATAAATTGTAGAAAAATCGTATGGAGATGTGCAAGTAGCCATTTTAAAGCTAAGAACTTGAACTATTTGCACCTTGTACAGTTTTGAAAACAAAAATGTTTAAGATGCCCAAAACAGTCCGTGAATGGAGTTGAACTTTTCTGATGAAGGCTGTTAGAGAAATTTAGTTATGTTCTTAGTGTTTTAACTTGTATTCCCCCCTTAAAAACTTGAGAAAACATGAAAATGTAGGGGTATGAACTCACCTTAAGTGATTTCAGTAGATGATTGTTGAAGAATGGAAGTGTTTAATTCAAGAACACTTGGAGATGCCTTGAAGGTTTTCGAGAATCTAACATTATAGTTAGGGAGTTTGTGTAAGCAATCAAAGACTTGAGTAGAATGAAGTGAAATAATAATAGGGAGGATAAATTTTTACTTACTAAGTGTGGAAGAACACTTGAAATCAGCCTTGGATCTCGAAAATTTGTGTAGAAGAGTTTGAGAGAAAAGTGGTGTTTGTTACTTAGTGGAATGAGAGAAATGAGAGAAAATGAGGAGTGTGGTTGTTTGTTCCAGCTCAAAAACGTGGGAGTGAGTGAAATTTGAGTGTAAGGGAACATTGAAGTGACATAGGTAAGGTGGGGAGGTATGGCTGGTCATAGAGTGGGTGTGGGGTGGTTGCTTGTGTCATAAGTTAAGGCAAAGTCAACACTCCACCTTAAATAAATCCCCCATTAGATCTTTATTATTTAGATAATGATTTTCATAAAAATATGTTTAAATTATGAATATTTAGGGTTTATTATGTTAAAATAAAATTTCTGGAGAAAATCCCGCTTTAAAATCACGAAAAACGGGCTTAAAATGTTAAAAATATCAAAAATGGGCTAAAAGTGACAAATCTGCGAATTCTGGCCGAGGCTCGGCCTTCTTATGCTGAACCGAGAGAGAGAGGGAGGCAGAACCGAGAGGAGAGAAGAGAAAGGAAGGAACCGAGAGCACGAAGAGACAGAGAGGAGAGAAAGGAACAGAGCGCGCGAAGAGACAAAGGGGAGAGAAGGGAACAAAGGGCGACAGAGACCGAGCGAGAGATAAGGAACAGAGGGCAACAGAGCGGCGGAGTAGCGAACAGAGACCGAGAGGAGCAGAGCGTGAAGCGACAGAGGCAGAGGCTCGATCTCTGGTCTCTTAGCCACCAGAGGCTCGGTCTCTGGTCTCTTAGCCACCAGAGGCTCGGTCTCTGGTCCTAAGAGGCCTCTCACTCCGGTTTCGGTTCCTAAAGCCTATTTTTCTCGTTTTCGCCCCGTTTTAAGCCGTTTTTGACCCGGTTAAGGGCCGGAATGACCCGAGTGATTCTAAAAAGTTACGGGAACTATTTGAGGGAGATTTGGAAGAGATTTCTCATACTTGGAGAGATTTGACATTCTTGGAGAGATTGCTCATACAGAGAGATATTTGAGAGAGATTTCACATACTTGGAGAGATTTGGGAGAGATTTGACCTTCTTGGAGAGATTTCCCATACAGAGAGATATTTGAGAGAGATTTGACATACTTGGAGAGATTTGGGAGAGATTTGACATTCTTGGAGAGATTTCATACAAAGAGATATTTGAGAGAGATTTCACATACTTGGAGAGATTTGGGAGAGATTTGACATTCTTGGAGAGATTTCTCATACAAAGAGATATTTGAGAGAGATTTCACATACTTGGAGAGATTTGGGAGAGATTTGACATTCTTGGAGAGATTTCTCATACAGAGAGATATTTGAGAGAGATTTCACATACTTGGAGAGATTTGGGAGAGATTTGACCTTCTTGGAGAGATTTCCCATACAGAGAGATATTTGAGAGAGATTTCACATACTTGGAGAGATTTGGGAGAGATTTGACATTCTTGGAGAGATTTCTCATACAAAGAGATATTTGAGAGAGATTTCACATACTTGGAGAGATTTGGGAGAGATTTGACATTCTTGGAGAGATTTCTCATACAAAGAGATATTTGAGAGAGATTTCACATACTTGGAGAGATTTGGGAGAGATTGACATTCTTGGAGAGATTTCTCATACAGAGAGATATTTGAGAGAGATTTCATGTAGGACAGTTGTGATTGTCCGGCATCGCAACGCATGGTTCGTAAACCCTGTTAAGCCTTGTTTAAGGATCTTACACACTCCTGATGAGTATGCATCATTGTTTTTATCAGTTTAGTTCATTGATTAGCATTAGGGCTTAGGAAATTTTCAACACAAGACTTTTCTCAAGTGATGTTTTCCCATTAATATAGCAAGTTATACAGTATGAACATAACACAAACCCTAATACACAAGGTTTAATAGAGTTGACCGGCTTGACTTGATGACTTGGCTTGACTCAAGATTGACGATTGTCACACATATCAGCAACAAATATTTGATTAATTGGTAATTATCTTCTATTTTGGTAAGGATATTCACCTAAAATCAATAAAAATCGGATTAAATCAATTAAAAACGTTTTTGGTAATAATCCTAAGCCAAAACAGCAAGAAAATCGCGAAAATCAGTTGGCAGACTCGCTGACTCATCGAGTCAGCACTGGACTCAGCGAGTTCAGTCATGGACTTGGCGAGTCCAACCCTAAAAACTCAACATTTTCGATTTTCAGTTAATATTCAATCAAATAAGCATCAAAGTCAACAACAAACAGCCCTAGACTCTGATACCACTGATGGGTTTTGAGCACTACATTAATCTTATGGTGTACATGCAAACCCTAATGCTTTGGATCTAGTTTGTCTAATGAACATGCAATTGAATTATCCAAAGCTATAAACCCTAGATCTAACATATTACAAACTGAATTAGGGTTTAGAGAATACTTTTTATTGTTTTGTAGCAATAACAATCTATTCCTCCTTGTAATTGGCTTCAGAAAGTTTAGTGCCTCAAGTGTTGCACCTCAAATGGAGTCACAAACACCACTAGCAATAAGGATGAAGGAGGAGAAGAGAAGAGGCACCCAAAACGTCTAGAAACCTTAAGGAATCAGTTAGCCACGTTTTTGGTGCCCTAGAGGTCCTTAAATATGTGAGGCTATTAGGGTTTTGAACTTAGGAAACCCTAATCTGACTGCTTAGGCTCTAAGTGGTCCATGGATTCCCTCCTTAGAGGTCTTGGACTATTTCTTATGGGTTTCCCTATAGAATTCGTCCACTCCATCCTCTATGGAGTCCATTAGCCCAATATTCAACTATCACACAATTAACAGTTCTAGTCCCCTTTATTTAATTAATGTCTTTTAGCCACAAAATTAATTATCAATTAATTCTTGACTAATATTAATTAAACAATATGATTTCTCCTTTAATATATTATTCTTGTAATATATTAATAAATCATAATTAATCTCCTCTCTCCTTAATTCTTCCTACAAGTTGCTATTGTGAAGGCAACTCAAAAGGACCATGCTCATAATCGGGTCAAGTACATACGAAAATAGTTATGGACTTAGGCACTAATCCAACACATATACATTTAATTTGTATTTAGTATTAAATTTAAGTTAAGTTGTTGTTGTCAGCATTGGAATGCCTATTAACATATCTCTTGGCAGATACATCTAAAGATGGTGCCAGTTGTCGATCAACAGTTAAATGAAATGACAACTCCTATAGATGATGAAAGTGAAACACGGAGGTAATAAGTCAAGTTTGTCATTAGAACAATGATTTAATATGAAAACAAGTTTCTTTTAGCTCATACGGGTGATGAAAGTGAAACAACCAAGAAAAACGTTTACCATGAAAATTTACAGATAATGTATAGTGGTTTTTTGTCAGTCAAATTGGATCCTAGTAAGGAAGTAATGAATCTGGATTGGTAAATGTCCACTCATAATGGTCTAACTCCAAGTATTTGTGTTAAACAACTTTTGCATAAACCAAGTAAATAATGATTGTTGTTTTGATGTGTAAGATCATTATTAGAAAAATGAACCTTATGTGGAAATTAACAATTTGTTTGTTTAAATACTTTGGGTTTGGTTATGGAGAAGTTTTATTTTCAAGGGTATATTTGTCCAAAAGTTCATTGTATTTATAGAAATAGAGGAAGTGAAGTTCAAATATTAATTATTTTTGCCATTTTGTGCAGGAGGAAGTGAAGTTCTTACTGTCCATGGTTTCTTGTGGTCTTGAACCTAAACGTAGGGATGAAAGTGGGTCCGAACTCCATCGCAAACTAAAATTGAGGGATTATAAGACTCAAGAACGCACCCTTATAAAGGAAACGGTTTTGGTTCAGTTTCGGGTAATCGGACCGGGTAAAATGTGTATGTAACCGGGTAATTAGAACTGGTTTTGGGTTTAAGACTCAGATGGGTATGTATTTTTTTTCTAAGGGCCAGATGCAAGAAATATCAATACACTTTTGTTTTTCATGTTTATTGTAACCTACTTTTGCTAGCTTCCCTGAGTGGGTGTGGGATGTAATATGTAGCAAGGGAGGAGAACAAAGAGAAGATGGTTTCGGTGAAGCTGGAGGTTTCGGGCGATGACCACAACTAGAAGTGATGTCGGAAGTGGGTCGAGGTTCACGATGATAGGTTGCAATAGGGTGAAGGCTGCTTGTCAAGAGGTTCCGAGAGATGGCTGGAATGGAGGTGTTCAGCTGGTTGAGATGAAATCGGTGATGCAATAAGTATTTTTTGGGTATTGATTCGTTTTTTGTAAAGATGGGTGGTGGTTTATAGCTTGATGTTTTTTTGGTATAGGGGTGTTTTACAAAAAACAAATAAAAAACAAAATAAAAACAAAAAAACAACCTTCTATATCTATCTAATCTGCTACACACAATCTACTATAATATGCTTTATTTATATTTGTATGTCGCTCTTTGCTGCTGAAAAAATGTATGTAGTGTTTTTTTTTGTTTAGTCATCAACTGCTCTACTGTATTTGATTTATTTTCTTTTGTTTATTATTAGCGCTTCGAGACAATGATCGCTTCGAGACAATGATCAGGATGATGGGGTTTAAAGTGTAAAACATGGTTTAAAAATACCCCATCAATTAACATCATGTACAACTCTTTTAAAAAAATTGTAGTAAAAGACATGAATTATTTAATTAACTTAAAATAATAAAATAAGCTCAAACACATTTTAACGTAATTGTCAAATTTTATGATTGAAAACAATCTAAAAATTACATTTGAAGGATAAAAATAGTTTTTGTAAACATATTTAGTGATCATAAAATTAGCACTAAACACAATCTTGAACATAAAACATTGATTATCCGGAAACAATGATCAAAATTCTATACTAATTAATTAATTTTTTGGGAAAACCTCTTGATAAGTACAAACTATATTTTATAAAAAAAAAAATTAATAATACACTAATATTTGATAATTTTTATCAGTATTATTCGTCGAAAAAAATTTGCAAAAACTATTACTTAGTGATACTTGCCAATACATGGTGTCTTATTTTTAATATGACATATTTCCTAGAACAAATTAAGCATTGAATTAAAACAAATCATTGTTCAGCATATAGGACACCCGATAGATATGTAAAAAATTTCAGCATAATCTCATTAATGTCAAAAAAGTTATAGGTCAACATGTTGGAAAAAAATTACTTTCCCAAGGATTCCATGTCCGTCTAAAAATAACATGTTCCATTTAAGTCAAAGAGAAAACAACTTTCAATTTCATTATGTTTCGTGATAGACTAAACTGCACAAATGGTCCCTATGGTTTGTTCAAAATTGCCACTTTGGTCCAAAAAAGTTTGGACTAGCACCAGAGGTCCAAGCTTTTCATTTTATTGCAAGTTTGGTCTGTTTCAAAATTGGAAGAGGATAAAATGACTTTTTTGCCCTTGTTATTTGTTTTTTATTTTCTTTTTATTTACTGCACTAGTTTTTAACTGAAAATAGAAAAAAAAATAGCTAAAAATAAAAAACAAATACAACTCTCTCTCTCTCTCTCTCTCTCTCTCTCTCTGATACATCATCTTCTTCAAAACCCACCATCATGTCGTCACCATTGTTCTTCCTTCCAGCCACCACAAATCAACCAACAAAAAATACAACCCAACACCAGGTATGTTATTGTCCTCATATCCCTTTATTCTTCTTCTTTCTCTTCTCCTTTTCTGTTTCTCTCTTAATTTAAAAAAACCCAGATTTGGGGACACTCCAAACCTCTGTTATGTCGATGATGAGGCAGCGATGGCACACCCATTCTTTCTCACCGGAGAAGATGAACAAAAACCAAACCAGATCCTAGCCTCAAGGTCGTTGTAAAATAACGATGATCAATCAGCGATGGTTACAAACAATGTCATACAAATCCAAGTAACATCTTTCTCTCTCTCTCTCTCTCTCATGCCCATTGCCTTCTTCCCATAGAATATCAAACACACACATTCTCTTTGAGAATTAAAAACACACACACACACACATTATCGTTTGCATTTATTTCCAGAAGTAGTTTTAGGGCTTTTAGCCCTAGAAATTAGATACAAGTTCACTTACTATCGTTTTCATTTATTTCAGATGTTCAAGTGTTCATAATAATCGATTTTGGGGTTGATTGTGTTAGATTGCAGAGGAGGTAATTGGACATCAGTGCTTCACCGGAAACCTCTTTTTGGATTCAATCGTTTTTTTGTGAGTTTTATTTATGTTTGGGTTCTGCTCTAATGTGAATCGCTATATCAGACTGTATAATGTAAAGGTGAAGAACAATAATTATAGATTTAGGGCTTCTCCTTTGAACTCGAAAATCAGGAATAAAAAGATGAAATCAAAGAAATCTTGATGCCTGTAACTTCAATAAACTCATAAGCAGATAGAGGACCAATACCGATGAAGAGATCTGATTAGCCATTTGTGTTTGTGTGTGTGTGAGAAAGAGAGAGAGTTTGCATTTTTATTTTCTATTTTATTTCTGTTATAAAAAAATATAGAAGGAAAATTTTCTTTTTTTATTTTTCTTTTAATCAGAAAAATCTTTAAATAATAAAAAAACTGAAAAAGAAAAAGGTAAGGGCAAATTCGTCTTTATGAAAAAGTTTATAGCAAATAGGACCAAACTCGCAACAAAATGAAAAGTTTGGACCTCTGGTGCTAGTCCAAACATTTTTGGACTAAAGTGGCAATTTTCGACAAACCACAGGGACCATTTGTGCAGTTTAGTCTTCGTGATAATAATCAATAAAGTTGAGAGACAAACAATTCCAAATGTAAACATTTATCTTCGAAGATCGTTTTCTCGCATGACCATGTGGCATTATCCGGAATGATATCACCTGTCAATATAAAAGTATTAGTGAAACCTGGAAACAATTCAACGACAACGAAGTCTATATATAAAATGTGGTGTATAAAAAAGTATTATAGGATTAATAACACATAATCAATCATGTGTTCATGTATCTTAAAATACATCTTTGGTCAAAGTCTCTACAAACTAATTCCGAATAAAACATTAGCATCCCCGCGCTTGGCGGGTAAGCGGCTAGTATATATATATATATATATATATATATATATATATATATATATATATATATATATATATATATGTTTGTGTGTGAACGTGTGTCTCTGAAAGTCTCTGGCTTATCTCCCTAAAAAGAAGAGTGAAAAGGGGGTTTGTGTTAAAGAAACGAAAAAGAGATGGTGGATGTTAAAAGAGTGTGTTGTATGTGCGGTGACGTTGGTTTCCCTGATAAAATTTTTCGATGCACCAACTGCCACAACCGTTTTCAACACTCGTATGTCGTCAAACTTTTCCGATCATTAATATTTTTTCCGACTATTCGCCACAAATACCATCTCTCTCTCTCTCTCTCTCTCTCTCTCTCTCTCTCTCTCTCTCTCTCTCTCTCTCTCTCTCTGGCTCGCGCGGATGCATGGATGCGCTTTAACTTTTTACAAAACAAAAAGGATAATCTCCTATCCAAACTTTTCCGATTAAACGAGCTCTTATCTTTATCGCCTCCGGTCACCGCCCCATCACAACCATTAAATAAACTTTAATATTTATTATTTTTATGTTGACTAGAAATCGTCGTTAGTGGTAATGTTGACTTTTGAACACTAATATTATCACAAATTCCATGTTTAATTCCAACAATCCTTGAAAGAATGCTTTAAATTCTTTTTTAAGCAAGTGGGCTTCGCACTTATTTTATTTTATTTCATTTTTAGATTATTCAAATTCATTTTCTTTTCACAAAAATATATGTTAGGTATTGTAGCAACTACTACAACGAATCATCTGATCCGCCGGAGCTCTGTGATTGGTGCCAAATCGACGAGATTCGAAGCTCCAAACATGGATGTTCTTCGAAGAAACCGGCGGCAGTCAGCAGCGGCCGGTCGGAATATTCCGGTGACAAGATCAAACAACAAGTTCGTGAAGAGGGGTCGGAGAAAGGGAAGTCGCCCACAACTGGAGCTCCTTCTCCGAGGACGGGTACACGAAGGTACAAGCTTCTAAAGGATGTCATGTAGTGTTAGGAATAAAGAAAGGTAATATATATATATATATATATATATATATATATATATATATATATATATAATATATATATATATATATATATATATATATATATATATATATATATATATATATATATATATATATATAAACCATTTTCTTCTAGAGTTGGATATGGATAATATTTGGTCTTGTTTTGTAAATTTCATCTAATTAGTTTATATTCAAAACTACATATTAATTTTCATGAATCCAGTACTTGTTAATTAGATTAGTAAATAGTTGAATGATTAATGCTCTTTAAATGAGTATTTGACATTAATTATGTATTGCGAACCTGGAATATTTATACCACGCAAAAGTATTTCTTTGAGTATATATATGCATGTCGTACTTGAAGTTGTTGTTCGGTTGTAATATAGGGTTGTTATAATTGTAGTTCAACAAATATTCGTATATTGTTTAAATAGCCATCGTGACTATTTTTGCATTTGAGGGACATGTACTTGTGTTTTAGCAGTTGTAAATATCATTTTATCCATTTTAGCAGATATTCCTGCCTAGTCACCTGCTAAATAAGTGAATTAGTGAATACATATAGCACATACTCATTAATGTGCGACTCGATGACACACTTGCTGGAATAGGGTCAACCATTCACATCCCTCTAACCCTTTCTTCCTCCATGCTGAGAAAATTCATAGGTAAAAAGACCATCTAGTGCAACACGTGACAAGGGTTTCGATAAGGGTTTCAATTTCGCTCACAAGGTGGAGGAGCTTTGGCCAGTGCACGCTTCTACCAGATCAACTTCCTTCTCGAAAATCAGGATCTGGTGTTAATGCAATGGAAATGGGTTCGATGAGCCCATTGGCGCTCGGTTTAACTCCACCAATATCCCCTCCGACATCTCCGATGTGGCAGAACAAGGTGAATCATGTGATGTCGTCGGCGCTGCAACTTTCAAGGAGTAGGTTGAAGACGGAAGTTGGTCAGGCAGTCATTGACACCAGTCAATCCCCTAACAAACATCCACCTTTTTTGAATGTGGTTTGAAGGGGACGACGTGCATTGACACCGAAATGTCATCCTTTTGCTCTAATTACTTTGTAAGTGCAAGAATTGGTGAATACGATCATGAAACTTCTGAAATCTCTATACTTTCTCCATGATTTCTCTTTCTGATTCCAAAATCTCAATGTGAAATCTCTATACTTTATCATGAAGGGAACAACGCGCATTGACACCGGAATGTCATCCATTTGCTCTAATTACATTGTAAGTGCAAGAATTGGTGAATCTGATCATGAAACTTCTGAAATCTCTATACTTTCTCCATGATTTCTCTTTCTGATTCCAAAATCTCCATGTGACATCACATTCGTTTGGATTTGATGTGTTGACTGGTGTTTGATAGTCGAGAAACACTATTAATTTGAAGTGTTTTAGGTTGAATTTCTTGATAGCCATCAAAACTTTCAGTTACTAATCCTATTATGATGATCTTGAGGGATCTTTCCTAAAGGATCTTTATCAGTAGAAAGCTATAATTCCTAGGTGATTAGGCACGACGATATGATAATGCTCGCAACAACATGGCAGTACATTAGTACTTTTTGTATAATCAAGGGTACGGTAGTACAAAGTACTTGGGTTTAGCACGACAGTACAAAAGTACTTGGGTTTGACACGGCGGTACACAAATACTTGGGTTTAGCACGTCAGTACAAAGTATTTGAGATAGACACGGAAGACATAGCTTATTATCTCACACGACTCTCTCTCTCTCTCTCTCTCTCTCTCCCCCCACCCCACCCTCTCTCCCTCTCTCTTTAACCTATTGCAACCACTATTTCACACAACCCTATCATAGCCTCTCA